ATGTTTCCAAAACAGAACAGCAGTGAATTTAATCCAAGATCCATTTGTCTGCTTTTGACCAGCTAGGTTCAAAACGCATTCCCACAGAGTGGTAGAGTTGCCTACTGCATGTTGCTGACATTTGTTTTTCTTCATCACAACGTTGCAAAGGCATTGGTTGATGTGGGAGACAAGCCGGCAGCATTTGTTGGGTCACGGCAGTGGATTGGTTCCATTGAGGTACAACTTGTTTTGAATCAGCTTTTTGGAATAACATCAAAAATATTATTTGTCAGGTAAGAATTGCTATCTGTTTAACAACTCGGTAATTATTAAAAAAAACTGAGTGCCTTAAAATGCAAATTACCATTACACTATATGGGAGAATAGGGATAATAAAGGAGATGAATCTTTTAAGGGTTCCATGTTCATCAGCCCTGTATTCCTGACTTTGGTTGTGCTAAGTGCTTACAGGTGAAGGTGTTGCTAAATTTCTTGGGGGCTTAGGGTTCCAGGTTGCTGTTACTACAAACTTCTTAACGATAAGCAAACTGATGTGGAATTCGGCCTTTTCTTTTGCACCACAAACAGGTTTTGAAGCAGGCTTACAGCCTGGCAGTCATAATGAACTGAGTGCACACTGACAGTGAGTTGTGACTTTGTTCATAGAGCTAGACCATCAGTTAAGGACTGAGGCAAATTGCTGAGCAGCCTGGAAATAGTGTGCTCTTTTCTGGGTTTGTGACAGATAAAACAAGGAATTTGTTTCCATTCTGACAATCTGATGCTCTCATATGCAATAAAGAGCCCTACAAATATGTTTGGGACAAAAAGAATAATGTTCGGCATTTATCAGAAGGTACTGGATTTTTGTCATTTAGACAGGATTAAGCAGAATAACAAATCCCTGAATGTTTTGTGATAAATACAGCCATGAAATAAAGAGAGTATACTGACTTAGATATTATAAAACTCTAGTCATACAAAATACTACTCATGAGCTATATTTATTTGGAATAAATTCTACTGTGGCTATTCTGAAAGAGCATGTGACCGTGGTGATTCTTAATGGTAAGAAAACAGTTCTTCAATTTTTTGTAAAGCTTTATACAGCCAATTTTTAATCTTTTTTTGTTGCAGAGCTTATATTTGCAGTTGATCCACCTATTATTTCTAGCAGCTGTGACAGGCCCTGCCAGGGTGAAGGTTTTTATTCCTTTTATTCCTAATATAGAATAGATTCCTTTGTGAACTGGGTAGAATTGCTCATAGCGCTGCTACAAGGGAGCACCAATGTTTTTCAGGATTAAGAACATTAAGAAAAGTGTTTCAAGGGGAATATGAATATATGTCAGGCATATATCTTCAGCTCTGAGTCCTGGAGTATGTGCATGTATTGAGTGTGTGCCTTTCTTTTCCATGTAGATGCCTTTTGGCTGGTCCTCGTAGTTGAAAAGCAAAGCAGAGAGATTATAATAGATCTAAGTCAGTGTAGCTTTGAACAGATTAGAAATGTTATTTGAGGTTTGATTTTTCAAAGCTACCTTGGGTATGAGTGCTGTAATTGCCTGTGCAGTTGGACTGAAAATTATCTTGAATCAGAATCTGTAAATTGCATTAAAAAACTTCTTTTTTCAGATTATCCCAGGATGTTTACACAGAAAAACTTTAAGCCACTTTCTCATCAGTTACTTACATACAGTACCTTATGTAGTTAATGTGCGTAACATAATGAGCAAGTTAAGCCCAGTGAGGATGACGTATCTGTTGTTCTTACCCAGCCAGGGTTCTGAACTGGCGTTGCAGGGAAGAGAGCTTGCTAACCATTTCAAGACTGAAGGAACTCCGGTTATGATTGGTAAGTGCTTGACTATCAAAGAATTGCCAGTAGAAGAGTGTGGCCTCCCTAAACTGAATTTCATTTCAACTAGAACTCATTCTGTTTACTGTACAAGAGTTAATCAGAACCTTAGGTGAATTAAAAATTATGCTTTTCCCAGGGAAGCCTGGAAGACAGTACAACTTATTCTAGCTGATGTCTTTCCACTCAGTATTTCTCCCAAGCTCAGTATTAAACCTGGTAACACAAGTCAATCTAAGAAGTGTTCTTAAAAACCGCTGTGGAAGTCAGAACTCAGGACCTGACTTCTGCTCTCTAGAGGAGCAGAAGCTCCCCAGAGTTTCCATCACAGAAGAGTAGGGTTTGCCTGGCTTTGAAAAGCAGGGCTTTAGCCAAATTCTTGTTAAAACAGTTTTAATAATCTGAAATATTAGCAACATAAGAAATGCCCTTCACTAAGAATGCTCTAACTTTAACTGAACTATTTCCAAGACAGCCATGGTTTAGAAAATGAAGAATATTGAAATAGCACTTTCAGCTTTAATAAATTACAATTTTAAATTTCCCTAATCTGTACTGGGCACTCCATAAATATGGTGTCAGATGGGGACCTCTCAAATTAGACATGCCAGAAGTCCAAAGTTTGGTATGAAATCTCCCCTAGTTGTAGTAATGTTGGTTAATAATGTGAAGAATCTTACATAGGACAGCTTCACAATCATTTTGATAACCAAACTAATCTGTTAATTAATAGAAAGTGTTGACGTACTTTTACCATAGGCTTGCACATACAGCTAGTGTCAGTGAAAAGCTTCTAGCAGTTTGTGTTCCTACTATTTTAGGTGGAGGTGTTTTGGCTCACACAATATTAGGAGTGGCTTGGAATGAGATTACAGGGCACATCAAGTATTTGATCCTAGATCCACATTACACTGGAGGAGAAGATCTGCATGTCATTTTGGAAAAGGTGAGGCTTGATGCACGTGTATGTGAACACACATTTTGGCATTAAACGAGTAATGTACAACCAAATACAAATTGGCCATTCTATGGCTTCTCCATTCCTTATGATTTCCAGTTAACCTGCACATATGATATTTTCTGCTAGTTTCTGAAATTTAGTGTCTTCAGGAGGATATCCAGGGTCAGCAACTACATAAAGGCTTTATAGTACAAAGAGATGTTTTCTCTGATTGAAAGCATCTCTTCTTTTACCCAGTAGTACATATGATAAATGGGTTTGGCATTTTGAATGGAACAGAAGAATTTGTTCAGCCTGCAAAATGCTGTTAGCGAAGCAGAGAAGGTAACTATTTTTTTTTTAAGTGCCATGACGAGGCACTCTCAGATCAGGCCTTGAACTAATTCTAAAGGGCAAGTACTGAGCTGTTTCAGAAATGTAGGAAAACTTAAGAACTAAAAAGTATGCAACATTATTTCCATATTTAAAGCTCCTTAAAAGGATTACAGCACATTACAACAAAGAGTCAGAAACATAAACTGTGAACATGCCTAAATCATCCTATAGGTGTTAAGTAAGCAATTTCTTTTCTGTTCTTCATATAAAGTTGCAAATAGCAACTTTTATTTCCTGTCTTGATTTGATACCCTTGGGTTTGGCCCAAATAGAAAAGCTGTTGAAGAAACATTTTCTTATAATGATCAAAGCTTCAAATGAACACAGGAAGAAATAATTTCCAAACAACATGTAGAACCAGCTACAGGGTGTTCCAGAATGCTCCAATGGAATAAAACACCTGTAGAACCCCTTTCCCTCTTCAAAAGTGGCAGGGGAGGAGCTCAGGTGGCCTCTTAAGTTTGTACCTCTTTTCTTCAAGAACAGCTCATATAATTATGTGTTACTCAGTAAGCACATACTCAGAGCTTTATTGGACTGTTTTTCTGACAGATCAGGATCAACAGCACACCTTCTGATACTTGGAGCTCTCTTTGGCTCTGAAATATCAACTATTACCAAAGGCAGCAAGGATTCAAAACGAGGAATAGAAACTGGGAATGATGAGTTTCAATGACACTAGTCTCTCTGTAGCAGCAGAAGGCAGAGAGGAGAGGGAAGATGTTTTTTTCAGGAAATGAGCTGTGGTGGGGAGGAAGGAATGGGGAGAGAGACACTTAAAGTGTTTCCAGGCATGTAGAGAACTTTCTGGAAATGGCATGTCACTGCATTCTATAAATGAGAATTCATACTGCTTAGATTAAAATTAGTAAAAAACAATAGATCTGCTAGTAGAAGGTAAGAAGAATGGGATCATAGTAGATTTAAAAACGTTGTTTTTTCTTGGACAGGGCTGGTGTGGATGGAAGGGCCCTGAATTTTGGAACAAGGATGCCTATTACAATCTCTGCCTACCTCAACGACCCAAAACTATTTAAAATCCACTCTTCTGCTGGAACATGCTAAAACAGAATACTGGCTGATCTAGATAATGACTGTTGTGTTAATACTCAAAATTATGCTTTCAGTCAGTCAGAACCGTGGTGAAACAGAAATGTTGCTGATGAATTTAAATTAAGAATTTTATTTTTTAATGAAACCCTTAAAAATAAAAGAGTTATCCTCTGTGAACTGTATTTCTTGCACATACATTTATTAGGTAACTAATACTATTCTTCTGGCTAGGACAACTTTATGATCATACAGCATTTTTCTTTTTACAGATTAAATGCCTAATCCTTTTATGTTATGGAATTCTTCCTTGCCAAAAAGACTAACTGTCCTCTGCCTGTCAAGTCCCATAGCACCAGCTGCCTTGTGCATGACGAATATAGTCCAGGGTATGATTTGCTGCTGGTACTGTTGATAACATTTGAGGAGTGGGAGAAAAATGGCTTTATGTAATGAATTTTATGAACTTTGTTCTCACATTTACCCAGGAAAAAAAGCGAGGGAATTAATTGTTAAATACTCCATTTATTTATAGCTGTATGAATAACAACTACTGTAGGGGAGAAAACCCAACCAAACAACAAAACACCAACAACACAACAGTCTTCTGTAAGAAGTAAAAACAAACAAGCTTTCATCCTTCTTGGAAGGAGACAATGTACGAGCACATACGTACACATCTGGCTGCTCAATGTATAGTCCAGTCATGCTTCTTCAGACTTCAGATTCCCCTTGATTTTGGGATGACAAGGCATTTTTCAGGAGACTAGATCTGTCACACAAACAAACAACAGTAATTCTGTGGCTGCTTTATCAGTACATCAGTAAAATTACCTGGGATTCCACCCTATTCACCCCACAAAGTAGTCTTTTCCATGGCATTCTCCATGCACTGTCTGGTTTTGGTAAAACCACAACTTTAAATACTTATGCAAGCTGATCCTTATGAGCAGGCTTCTAAATCCAAGTGCTATGTACCCAACACTGAATTTATTTACTTAAATGATAAAGAGTATTCAAAACCTATTCTGAATTGTAATAAACCAACAGTATTACACACCACCTGATCTTCTCCTCTTCCTGTTTGTGGATCTGGTGGTTCCACCTTCTTGTTTCTGTGCAGCTGGATCCTCTCTCAGGAAGCCATGGTTGTCCCTTGGTGAGTAGCCAGACTGTCCTCTCAGTTTCACTGTCTGAGTGTGCTGAGTTGTCCTGAGGAACCTGGCACATTCCAGAAAGCCGTAAGCCAGGGCCAGGTCTGCTGCTGTTTGTCCGCTGTTGTTGCACAAGCTGAAACAGAGTTAACAAGAACCATTCCATTAAAATGCAATGAGCAAGCACTCTTCAATTTGATTAAGTGGTAACTTCAGATGGAGGTATAAAGGTAAGTACAGAGAACTGATACCAAGGTGGCTTGCCAAGGGTAGCAAGGGGCTAGACTCATACAGAGGGTTGGTATTAAATGCACCAAGAATAAGTGTTTTAAAATCTGTCATTAGACAAATGACTGGCTCAGCGTCAGAAAGGCTGAAGAGGAGGGTGAGCACAGCTTTTGTCAGAATTGGAAACTTACAAGGAGAACTTTCGGTCAGGAATATTCTCTTAGTGGTTTCTGTAGAGGTTTTTAATGTGGAACTGAACAGCATATGGTCTGGGCTGCTTCGGTGTTTATGGCAGTTTTTCATACTGGTCTTAATGACAACACTCAAGCTATATAGTCTTGGCATGAATGCTCTGAACAAGGGAAAGTATTTGTAAAATACATGTATCCTCTGACATGTTCTGAAATAACTAAATGTAGCCCGACTTACTCAATTTTGGCATCACCAGCAACAAGCAGAGCAAGACATTCCAAACTCCCAACTCTTGCTGCTTTATGAATCGGGGCTTCTCCAAGGCAATCCTAAAACCAGTTTATATGTAGCAGTCAGTTTGAAGGAAGGGGAATAAAACGAGGCTATCTTGTTCTCCATCATGACTGTTTATGGAGTGTCTATTATGGAGTTGAGAAAGATTAAAGGACAATAGCTAGTAAAGAGTACTTGGTAAGTGCCATTAAGTGCTTAGTGTATTCATCACAGCAAAGCAGAAAACCTGTCCCATACAATACTCATTGTTTAACGTTTACCTTCTAATAGATGATATATACAGAGTATAGCCTGTACACTGATGAACAGCATCTTTCAGCACCATTCCGGGATTGCTGTGACCAATAGCTTGCTGCTACCAGCTCAGAGGTATAGGCAAAATTAAATTGCAGCCAGAGGAAGAATCCTTAACATTTACTGGAAGTAGGGATTCGATTTTGGAGGAAAAAGGAATGCTCATTTATGTAAAAAAACTAGGTTCTTTTGACATCTGCATGCAGGACTGTAAGTGAAAATCACATTATACATAGCAAATGAAATCACTAATGCAATATAGGCAGGATTTCTGGTTCATTGAAAAATAATTATTCTAAAATAAGCAACCCCAGATATCTCATGAAATACAAGTGTGTATATAAAATCTTAGATTAAAAAATACTCAAATAATATAAACTGAATTTACTGGCATGCCAGGTTAGAAATGGGAGAAAAACTTGTGTATTTTACCTGTTGGTTCAAATCTGCTCCCGTCTGCAGCTGCCAAAGTAGTAAGAAAGCTTCCCCACCGCAGGCAGCCAGGTGAGCTGGAGACTGACCAAAGGCATCTGCAGGTGCATTCACAGCAGCTCCTGCCTCCAGCAGATCGCTCAGACTACCGGACTGAAACAGAAGGAAGTAAAAGGGTGTTACTGCCAAAGAACGCAGCTCCGTAGCAGAAACACCCCCTCGCAGATCACCAGCCCGTTATGTTCCTTGAGACTGCCCTGTAAGGAAAAGCAGCCCGAGTCCCCTAGCCAGCAGTACTGCCGGACACGAGCAGTGTGCCACCGCACCGGCAACAGCCCCGCACCGCTCACCTCCGCCCCGCAGCCCAGCACCAGCATCACCGCCAGCTCTCTGCGCACGCCGCGCTCCCGCCGCGGGAAGCCGGCCCTCGCCCCGCCCCCGCCAGCAGCAGCACGTACGCAACCGCGCGCCTGCCGCGGGGTACCGGTGCCGAGGGCTGGCTGGCGGGCGGGCGGCGCCATGTCGCGCGGGGTGCCCCGGCACGTCTCTCACAGGCGCGGTCCCCCCGCCATGGCGCTGGCTCGGGCTGCTGGTGGCAAGGGCGGCTCCCACGGTGGTCCTGCCCGCGGGCCCTGACGCTGGCGGGGGAGGGCGGTATCCGGATAGACCCGGGTCTAGAGAAGTAAACCCCAGCGGATTAACTTGGATTTCCCCTCTCCCAAACCCCTTAGGTCAGCATGCAGAAACCCACCCCTGCTGCCTTCCTGCCCGAGCTGTGCCACTGAGATAAGGGGACTGAGTCGGTAAGAGACACTCGGCCATCTCTGAAGCTCAAGGCTCAATGCAGCCAGTACAGCTGCAGTACATCCATTCCCAACCTGAGTGGGACCAGGTCTGGTGATGGGGGATTCTGGGGTCCCCACCTATTGCACTTCCAGTCAAAATACATTTAGAAAAACAATCTTAATGTTCACTTCTTTGAGCAGTAACTGTCCCGGAGCGGGTCAGACCATAGAGGTCAAGGTTACAAACAAAGCTTTCCAACCACAGGCTTCTGCACTGCAAACCAGGACCAGCCATGGCAACACTCAAAGACCGTGAGAATGCTTGGAATCCATTCTGAACGTGGTGACAGTGATGTTCAGTGGTGAAGCCTGCTTCCCCCCAGCAGAGCTTTACCGCTCCACTCGGTGTCTATGGCTGTTGGGGAAGGCAGGGCGGGAGAGTGGCATGGCCACACACACAGTAAAACACATTCTCCACCACGGTTTGTGGAAGCTGAGAGCAGTCAGTGGCATAACTTCCCTTTGCACGGCCAGAGCCTTTGCTCACGTTTGAAAGTAACTGCCTGTCCTTTCCGTGCTGTACAATCCAGTCTGGCAGAGGATTCAGTTACCGCTAAGGGTACTTCCCAATTCAAGTGAGAAGTGTCCTAACCCAGTCAGTGTCTGAGGTATACAGTTTTTTTCCCTTAGCACTACAGTATTTCCTTCCGTGTCGGATGCCTACATGTTTGTTACGGAAGTTACTCATAATCAGTACCATCACTTAAAAAAAGGAAATAAAAAGTTACATGTTTTAAAAAATGAAATCCCATGGGCTTGATAAACAAGAGTTAGGGGAAAAGCAGCCTAACAGTGTAAATGCACAAACATTGTTGACAATTACCTCCTGCTTCCCCTTTCAGAAAGGAAATATAAATCATTAAGTAGTGGAATATAAACACAGACAATCTCTTTTTCAACAGTGCCTAAATCCAGGTACAAAGGCAATGTATCAGTTCAGCAGAACCATTTCAGTGACAGTTTTCACCTCTCCTTTCATATGGAAATACAGGTGTGATTACCAGATTACCAGATACTACCCAACAGCTAGCCAAGCCAATGAGTTAATAAACAAATTAAATCCCTACACTTCCATCTGCACACTGTAAAGTATGAAATACACAGCTGCACAAATGCCAGAAATCCACAGTCATTGTTTATGCAATCACAAAAACTCTTCTGAAAACCACATACCCATAAGCAGCTTAAGACTTGGATCACCCAAAAGGATGTTTTGTTTTAAAGCCTTCCCTCCCCTACATGACCTCAGCAATTCCCAGGTGTCAAAGCTGAGGAATCCCATCTTTCCAGCTGAACCACCTACGCAGACTGGCATCCTGCCAGCCCCAACTCTCTTAACTGCTGTTAATTAGTTCTTGAGCTTCCTGTCACATTTTGCTTCACGTCATTAATGCCTGCAAAACTCTTCTGCTGCTGAGTAACTGTTACTTGCATTGGTTATAAACACATGCAGCTGGTCTGGAATAAAACTCGCTAAAAATCCCTCTGCGCTTTGAATCCCAGGCCACACATCTTGCATAGGTATCAAGGAAATTATATTGGAGGAGCCAGCCCTAATAAACACGTGTAAGCAATGGGATGAGCCAAGGTCTGCTGCTGAACCTCGCACCCTTCAGCGTCAAAAGCAGCAACCAGCGTTAACTGCGTTTGCTGGAGGGTACTGCTGTTTCCACAGGCTGTTCATCACCCTTCCCGTTCAGTCCAAGTAATTCATGTATGCTTCACAAAAAGTTTATTTCCTCTAGACTTCTTGGCCTGTATCATCCACACAAAGCAAATCAGGATGAGCTACAGGAGGGCTTGGTAACTAAAGTCAGTTGGGACTGTTGGATAACGTCATGTGGAGCCCACAGGTTTAACCACATAAAACCACAGGCATTACCGTCCTGTTCTGACTGTTGCCTCTGTCCCTGTTGCTATAGACACAGAGTGCGCTGCCAGAAATAGCAGGTTGATAATCATCTGGGAGGAAAATAAAAGGCAAAATTAAAATCAAAGCCGGGAATGCAGCTAAGGATTATTTTTAAAGCGCTCACGCAGCATTTTGGTGGTGTATCCTTTTTTTTGTAGGAGACAGCCAGAAGCTATCAGCAGAAGTAGAAACAATGCCTTACATTGCAGGAGAAATCAGCTTCACACAGCATTTCTCCTCAAATATCTTAGCAACTTTGATAGTGTCTATATGGGGAAAACAAACTGCAAGAAATGGTTTCTGATCACTGCGAATGCTGAGGCCCCCATGTGCTAGGCTGTTACACAGCCTCACCACCTTTTAACTGAGTCACATTCAGAGCTGCTGTTGGTTTTGCCTATAATCTCTTTTTTGCACAGTATTTTGGGCTTCTGTGTGTAATTTGGTACAGGACCGGCAGGCAGTAGGAAGGATCCAGTGGATGGCCAAACGCAGCCTGTCCTAACTCACCATGTATTTTCACATCGTTCAGCAGTAGCCAACAGCTAGAATTGTTATTTCCACAGACCCCTGGCCCACATGACTGCTATAGAATCACAGAATGGTTTGGGTTGGAAGGGACCCTAAAGATCATCCAGTTCCAATCCCTGGCCATTGGACAGGGACAGCTTCCACCAGACCAGGTTGCTCCAAGCCCCGTCCAGCCTAGCTTAGAAACTCTCGTTTCTCGCAGAAAATGGACCAAACCCAAAGGGAAAACGCCAGCGTTACCTTCCCTTTCTTCTTCTGCCCGGTCAGAGGACGTGGAACCACAAAGCCCTGTGCTTGATGCCGCTACAGTGCGGGCTGGGCTGGGTGGTGCTTCGGGACAGCAAGGGGGGCAACTGCCACGCAACTGCCATTAGCAACCGCCATTAGCAACCATCCTCAGCCCGCCGCGCCGGCTGCCTCAAGGCGCTCCGCCGCTCCGCGCCGCCGGCGGCTCGGGCAGCCCGACACCAGCGAGGGCCGCGGCCGAGCTCCCGGCCTGCCGTCACTCGGCGCGGCTGGCGGGCGCCGCTTCCCGCCGACTTGCAGGCTCGCAGCCCCCTTGCCCTCAGCCCCCCGCCAGGGCGGGATGAAGCTGCGCAGCGAGCGCCTGCCCCTGGCCTCCAGCACCCAGCTCGCCCCTGAGGAATCAGGTAGGGACCCGGCCCTCGGGGCTGCCCCTTCCCCCCCACTCCCCTCAGCCGGGCCTGCCGCGTCCCTCAGCACCGCTGAGTCCCAGCAGGCGCTGTAAAGCATTTCGTGATGTGAAGGGGCCTCTCTAGTTCAGATTTGCTTTTAAGCAATTCCACAGCAAACCGAACCTTCACATGGTCCTCACCGAACTTCATCCCTTTAATGAAATAGCCCTTTCATCTTAATCCTTTAAAAGATGCAAACAGAAGGGGACCGCACCGGCTTCAGACCTTTAGTGTGCTTATCGATGCTGTTCTGTCTGTTTGGGAAAATAACCAAATGTTTGTCAATTTTTACGCAGAGAACTGCAACCGTGCTGCTTTATTTGCAAAAGCTGAGGAGCTGTTGATGAAGAGAATGGCAAGTGGAGATCCTGTGGCATGGTTTTTGAGAGGACAGCTGTACTATGAAGAGGTTGTGGTTTCCTTCTTTTACGGAAATACTACAAAGCTGACAATTTTTTAATACAATTTCAGTGGGAAGAGAGACACCTTAAACTAAAAGACATGCCTGTACCTGTTTTTTTTCCCCACAAAAAGCAGCAGGTGTTCCCCCATGTAAGTTTTTCCTGTATGGTCCCCAGGCATCTAGTGGTGGCTCCCAAGGACTGGGTGAAGAAGCAGCAGCCTGTCCCTACAGCTAACTTCCAAGCTGAGCTGGTTTTTGGCCAGCTGACTCACCAACCACCACATACTGTTTTCAGTTATGTGGTTCTGGTCCCTGACCCCAGACACAGCTTTTGATCTTTGCTCTCCCAACCCAACTGCCAGTTTTGAGTTTAGTCCCTGTATAACCAACCCTGTGTTGAGCTGTAAAAGCAGATTCTTATAAACCCTCGAGGTATAAGAATATCTCACTTAAGGGACATCAGATAGGGCAGGGCGTCTGGATTAGACATTTTTCCTCCTTGAACGAAAAAGATGGCATTTGGGAGAAGGATAAAGATGGTCAGACTGTCTTTTGGTGTCAGAGATGATGTTTTGCATACCACTACTTGTTTGGAAGTCCTGAGTGCTTCCACCCTATCCAGCTTTCTTGTGGTTGTTGACTTACTCTGCGTCTGATTTCTACAACTTCTGTAGTTGTTCTGTGCAAATTTTTGTTCTTTGTTCATGAGGGAAATGCTCCAAGTTGAGAAACTGCAAGAGAGTACATATCAGAGTGAGGCAGCCATACGTACCCTTTGTTCTGTCTTTCCCAGGGCTTGTATGAAGAAGCATTAATACAATTTGAAAAAATCAAGGATGCAGATTTTCAAGCAATGTATCAGCTTGGTGTAATGCATTATGATGGACTAGGCACTACAGAAGACCCTGTAAGTAATATAGCTATGTGATTTTTACTTTCCTTTTAATATTAGCCAATGATTACTAAGACCTTCTTTATAAGCTTGATTATTTAGTTTAAAATAAGCAGGTTTTTGATTTACAACTAGTTTCAAGAAGAACGGGTGTTTAAAAAGCATCATTAAAGATAGAGAGTTCTGAAGTAGCTCTTAAAAATAGCTATAATAAAATAGGTTCATTTGAAAAACACAGTAATTTGTATTTTCAGTTATGAATTTTAAAGGTTTGGTTGTGCTGTGTGGAAGCTGTTTTAAAATTGCTATTTGTTACTTATTAATAAGCAGCGTATATAAATGAAAATGTGTAAAAATGGAAATCAACTATATAGTTTTGCACAAAGATGTTTTTTAAGGTACTAGTCTCTAGTCTCTTAACATGGATTATGCTTCTGCCAGTGGTTGGAAGTAATATTTTAAAATCAGAGGAAGAATTACATTTTCAAGAATTCAAAGCATTCAAATTGAAAAGCCACATTTCAGAAAAGACAAATGAATTGCTGCCATAAGAAGAGTTAACTTATTGGAGAACATGACTTAAAAGAGTGGTACGAGGAGAGAATACAAATAGGGTGAAAGAAAGGGTACATAACAACATGGGAGGGGAAAAAATAATCAAACAGCATATTAACAGATCAGACTCTTGTGCTTAGAGGAGGATTGTCAGCAGAACAGAAATTATTCTGCTGTTTTTTAGAGGTGGCTCATTTGTTCTGTATGCTGTATGCCTGCATAGTTACCACATTGGTTTGTTTGCAGATAAACATGTCAGAAAAGTTTCTTTTTTGAATGTTTCAGTATGAGAGAGGTAAGAGAGGAACCTTTTGCAAAGGACTGTCTCCAGTGCATTTAAACAGGGTGTCTATGCTAAATCCTAACAGTGTAAATCTTGTTTCTGAAATACTTTTGAAGTCCCTGGATGATACACCATACATCTGCTCATACACACAGTTTGTTCTCCGTATGCTTATTTATGTCCATTATGAATTTAAGGCATTTTTAATAGAGGGACTTCAGAGTGTATTAGTGTTACCACTTTGCCTTCTGTTAAGGTTGTTTTATGATTTCAGATACATTATGCAATATGAGAAAGTTTACAGAAGATCAGTATTGAAAAAGTAGCATGTTTAGGATGTCATTTATGCAAATATAAGAGTATTTCTCAGAAAATTTTTATCAATGAAGAGGAATATATTATTAGATGAACTTTTATAAGGAAATGTTTCACATTAAAAATATGTCACAGCCAAAAATCTAGCGGCTGTTTAGTAACAAAAGATCAGTTCTGCTTTGCTGTGACACTGTTCTCCAGACTGTCCTACCAATATGCCTCAGCCTTTCTTCAGTGTGGAAAACTTACCTGTTTTGCAGAACATAGTGGATTGTCAGCTTCTTTATCTCATCCTCTTCCGAATCTGAATGTAGTAATCAAAATGTCTCAATTTTTAGGAGAGCGGGGTGAAATACATGAGGAAAATACTCTACTCTGATTCCCCAAAAGCAAGACACTTGAAGTTTGCAGCTGCATACAATCTTGGCAGAGCATATTATGAAGGATGTGGTGTCAAGCAGTCAACTGAAGAGGCTGAAAGGTAATGGCAGTCAGTAACTTTCCTGACAAATATAAGATGCTGCGTTACTTGAACTTTCTTTTCCCCATTTTCTTAGGTTGTGGCTTTTTGCTGCAGACCATGGAAATCCTAAAGCAAGCATAAAGGCCCAGAGTACTTTAGGAATGCTTTATTCTATGTCAGCTCAAAAAGACCTGAAGAAGGTAAAGGCCGCTTGTACCTTTTGAGTTTCATGAGTCCCAGTTAATCTTGACTTTACAGAAAGATTAACTGGTTCAAACTTAAACAGGCAAAGTTTAGATTGGATATAAGGAAGAAGTTCTTTACTGTGAGGGTGGCACTGGAATGGGCTGTCCAAGGAAGCTGTGAATGTTCCATCCCTTGTTGTGTTCAAGGCCAGGCTGGACAGAGCCTTGGGTGACATGGTTTAGTGTGAGGTGCCCCTGCCCATGGCAGGGGGGTTGGAACTAGATGATCTTAAGGTCCTTTCCAGCGCTATTCTGTGATTCTATATTTGTCTCTGAAAGCTGTATTTTAAGTACTTCTAGGCATTATCATCCAAGCCTGTATGAACAGATGGCCAGAATCGCTCATTTTGACTAATTTGACACTGCTGGCCAATGTGTTTTGGTGGTGGTTTTTTTTACTGGGAGTAACAGGGAGAACTGGTACTGGAATAGAATGGATTTCAGTTTTCTCAGCTTTGGTAACCTTCAGAAACCAAGGAGATGTCACTGATGATAAATGAAGCAGATTTTAAAGCCTTACAAGGATTCTGCTTTCTTTTATGTGTAAGCATTTCTTACAGGATGGTTGATACAAGAGCGTTTATGTAAACACTATGGAACAAAGTAGCTAAAGTAAATGTTTACTCCAACTTTGTGCCTCTTCTTTAGGCCTTTTTCTGGCATTCAGAAGCATGTGGCAACGGAAGTCTGGAATCACAGGGAGCACTCAGTGTTATGTATCTCTATGGACAAGGTATAGGTCAAAACACTAAGGCTGCTTTGGAGTGTTTGAGAGAAGCAGCACAACGTGGCAACATCTATGCTCAAGGTCATCTTGTGGAATATTATTACAGTAGAAAATTTTACTCAACAGCTGCTGCAGTAGCCAAAAGGTGAAAATAATTTTGATTTTTTATGGTGATTCTTTATGTAAGACCACAGTGCTCAGATTAAAATGATTAGTAAGTTCATGCTCTGGTCTCTCAGACGCAGGAGGTGTTTGAGATAATGAACTGCAAAACCTCATGTAGAAGAGGGAATAGCAACTCAATGACAAAATTAATACTGTAAGGTTCTTACTACTTTTCTTTTTGATCCTGTGGAGCAAAACAGCCTTGAACTAGAATCTTAAGTAGACCAAGTAGAAGCCCACCTGCAGCCCTGCTTTCCATGTCTCCTCAGTCCACAATCTCTATGCTTCACCACTCCCTTTTAAACCCCTACCATTATAGAACCCCAGGTTGAAAGGGACCTCAAGAATCATCTGGTCCAGCTTTTCTAGGCAAGGCATGACCTAGACTAGATGTCCCAGCACACTGTCCAGCTGAATCTTAAATCTTTTCAGTGTTGAAGAATCCACCACTTCTCTGGGGAGATTATTCCCATGGCTGATTGTTCTCATGCAAAATTCTCCTCTTATATCCAGTTGGAATCTCCCCAGAATTAACTTGAAACCATTACCTTTCATTTTTTTTCATGTGACTCCTTGTAAAAAGGAAGTCTCTGTCTTATTTGTAGCCACCCTTTAAATGCTGGAACATGGTGATAAGGTCTCCTCTGAGCCTTTTCTCAAGGCTGAACAAAGCCAGCTCTCTCAGCCTTTCCTCATACAGCAGGCTTCCCAGTCCTCTGATGATCTTCATGGTCCTTCTCTGGACCCTCTCCAGCCTGTCTGCATCTCATATAGCAGGGACCAAAACTAAATACGGTATTCCAGGTGTGGCCTGACAAGCCTCGAGCAGAGTGGGATAATGACCTGTCTCTGATACTGATGCCCTTGTTGATGTAATCCAGCATCCTGTTGGCTTTTCACATATACTGAGCCTATCCACCAGGACCCCCAGGTCCCTTCCCACGGAGCTGCTGCCCAGCCAGGTAGATCCCAGCCTGTGCTGCACTCCTGGATTATGTTTTCCAGATGCAAGACTTGTCCTTGTTGAACTTCATAAGGTTTTTGTTAGCCCACTCTTCCAGCCTAGTCAGGTCAGCCTGTTGGGTGGCTCTCTCTTCCAAAGTGTACACTTCCCACTTAGTTTGGTATCATCAGCAAACTCCATTTGGGTACACTTGATGCCACCTTCCAGATCACTTACGAAGACATTGAACAAGTGTTGGGCCCAATATTGATCTTACAGAAGCTGCATCCTGCATATGCCATTCATAGCAGCAGCTCTGTTTTTTCCTTCTTTTGCACTCTAAGGAGACTGATAGCTATTCAGTATAGTCTAGCGTGTCTCTCTTGGAATGCATCCCTTTCAGCCAGTGCTGAATGGTACATTATCCAGGCAAGTGAACAGTGCACTTCATCAGCTGCTACTATAATTGCAGCAAATAGCAATGAAATCTGATGCTACAGCCAGAAGTGCCCATTTCTGAACCAAGAGATACTGCCACCATACTTGAAACAGTTCCACTTAACTGAGATTGCAGTTGGCCTTGTGGCAAAAATGTCAGCAGTTCAACCAGTTGTATCAGTACCTTTTCTGCTAAGATTTGTTTGTGTTCATACCAACTACATGGTTTGTTACATACAAACAGTTACACCTTTGTTATGTACAAACATCCAAGCATTATGTAATTATGTACAGTATAGCATTTCTTAATACTGTGAGACTAGATTAGCTAATGGTATTTCACTTTAAATAACAATTTTGTTATCCTGTACACTTCTACTTACCCACTGCTATTGTTTGAAGTCAACCGTGCTGAACTAGAATTTCTCGCCTGATTTAACTGGGTATTGTTATTTGCATCAGCATCCTGTTGTGTATCTTTTGGAGAAGAAGTCAAAAATGCTATATATCAGAAAGATAAAAGAGGCAGTAAGTTACCTTACCTCTATTATAGTTGAATGGTTTTGCTAGTAAGTCGTTGAGGTTGTTGGTTTGGGGGGTTTTTTGTCTTTTTTCCTATTTTGTTGCTGCATTTGTTAATGGGACCAAATTAAGTGTGAGAATACTGCTCTGAACACAATCAAATGATTTAATAGGCACTGACTTGGCAGAGGGCTAGTTCAGAACAATCTTTCATACACTAATTTATAGGGAATAGGTATAAATTCAAATGACTTGCACTTCTTTTTCTTCTGTCAAGCATATAATTACTCTTTGTGTCTGGAAAGGATACAGGGCTTGGGGGGCTCTGTTTTAGGACAACAGCTAGGAAAAAAATCAGTTCCCACTTTGAAATGTTGTACCTAATACTGTAGCAACAACAACAGGTGATCATAGCGTGACAGTGAAAACAATGTTCACTTCGTCCCTCTGATTCTTGAAATGGTAAAAACAACATGCTGAAAATAAGGTGACAGTAAGCAGAGATGCAGAATAAAGAAAATAACTGAGCTGAAACAGTTGTAAGTGGTTGTCAGAAGTGGGTTTTACAATCTGATTCTGTCAGGTATGACCAAGATCTTGAGGTTACTATGATCTTGAACTTGGAATTTTACAATCACGGAATCATGGAATGGTTTGGGTTGGCCTTTTACAGATCATCTAGTTCCAACCCCTGTGCTGTGGGCAGGGACACCTTCCAACTAGATAAGGTTGCTCAAATGAATTGAAAAGCTCTGCTTTTCCTCCAGAAACACACATTTTTTTTCCATGAAGTGTTTTATTAGGAAAAATTAAAGTATGCTGCCTTTTATAAGTAGCATAACTATAGTGAAATGACTGCAGAAGTTATGTACTTGTTTTTTATTTAATGTAAAGTAAGACTAATTTCAGGTACTGAACAGAAGAATCCTCATTAGGTTGCTGAATACATATACATTTCAGCTTATTTTGGATAATGATGGAAAGGAGGTGGTGTCAAGTCGTATATGGTTTACTTCAATTATTGCTTGAGGTAGCATTATCTAAGCTAACACTGTAAATTCCATAACAGAATTACAGACCACGATGACATCAATATGCTAGCAAAGATAACCGACTGTCTTCCCACGTATGTTGCCAAGGGGGTTGCTATGGCTGCTTTCTACTTGGGTAGATGCCTCCACCTTGGCCGAGGTGTACAGCAAGATCAAGCTGCTGCTGCAAAATACTATTCTAGGGTAAGTTGGGAAAATGGGAAAATCTTTTTTAAGTCTTTAAATGTGTCTGGAAAGAGTGGTTTATGTCTCATGAAATTTGAGTGATACCTTGGGTTTCAGTCTTTAAACTTGTTTGGTTAAAGACTCGAAGATCATGTTAAAAAAAAAAACTGCGTAAGAAAATGTAGAGTTATAAAATTATATCAAAATCTACTAAAAACAGTCTGAAAGGATGCTGTCTGCCCACTTGCTTAAGCAAATATTGCATTATGGCAAACGTCAAAAAACCATCTGTGGAAACTATCACAGCAAAGATCTTGGTAACATGCAAGGTAGATTAGCTAAACCATTTGAATAATCTCATCCAAAATTGATTTGTTGTCTCTGTCATTCCCTCAAACTGGAAAACCCAAAGTTTTTCTCTGCTTTAGATTCTCTAACAATTACAACCATCATTAACAGTGCTGAAGTCAGTAATACCTGGCTGTCATACTTGGGTTTTATGTTTATAGTCTAACAATACCTGAAGATCTGCTGTTACTGACACACAGTGGCAAAAATAGGGCACATTGTTTGAAAGTTCTAAAGTTGAAGTAAAATGTCTTGCTTGAGGAAGAAGATCAACAGCGGCTTCTAGAAGGTGAATCTACTAGATAATATCAGTGATAGCTAAAGGTACAGTCAAGGCAAGATGATTAAGCCAACTGGAAGGAAGTGTAGCAAGATTGGATCTGTCCTTAAGAAAGATTATATGCTTTCTGTGCATGTAGAGACCATTTGTTTCAGCAAGTAGAATACTTCATGCCCAGCTTGGTGCAATCCAAATAAATGGAGAGTTACGTAAATGATAAATTATCAAGTAACAATTTTTGTGGCTCCTTACCCAGGGAAGCCACTGATACAAAAGACTTAGCAGAGAAGAGGTGGTGCTCTGAATGCATACTTTATAAACATTTTATTCTCCTGCTGTGAAAAGTGTTACAGAGGACAGGATGAGGAGGAGAAAGGGAAAGGAATATAAGCTGGTGTTAAGAATGCTGTAGGCAGCAGTCCAAGGAAGTGTTAAGGACTTTCACTCATGAGTCACTACCTGTACATCTGAGCCTGATACAGGAAGGCTGCTGCCTTCTTAGTATAAGGAGAGATGATTTCTATTGATTGGTGGCATGCATCTCCACTCAACAACAGAAGAGAAGTAATGGTAAATAAACAAGGAAGCTACCTGAAGCAGTAACTTGAGAACAAGTAAAAGACAAGAGTTGTGGGTGCGTTCAGTTTCTTTCGTACTTGGAAAAGAATTCCTGTGTTAACTGTACAATTATACCCACTTAAAATCAAAATCTTGTTTGCTTTTTTAATTAATTGCTCAGCTATGGTTTTGGCCTACCATTCTAAGACCCTGTCAGTTCTGAAACGCAAGAAAGAGAAGATGGGCATTCCAGGGGATACTGAAAAAGGTGATGCAAGTGAAGTAAACTGATCCTGCCTGTGAGCAGATTTAGGTTTTTGACTGTGGTGGCAGCACATGCCATATCAACAAAGAGAATAAAAAATTAAAACCAACACTACAGTCAAGTATGCTCATTTTAAATACTCATTTCTTTTCTTTAGAAAAAGGGATTTAAAGCTGTGTAGCATATTAACTCTTTAACATTTTAACAAGTTGGTTAACTTTTGTTGTAATTATCTGAGATAAAGACCTTATTAGTGTTATATTGATGTTGACAACATACAATTTTACTTTAGCCATAAACTAGAACTGCCTGTTCTGTTTTCAAAGGCGTGTCTTCTGGATCCTGATGTTGCGGCTGACCTTGAACTGGCAGCTAATCTTGGGAAAATTTAGCATTTCCTTTAGCTGTGACTGCTATATGAATGTGCTACCACAATAAACCATCTTTAATCTCCAGCAATTACAGAGTGTTCATCACTTACTGCTTGCTTTCCAACTTTAGAGGAATTACTATTTAAAGCAATCTACTGACTCTTTTATATCTAAAAACACAGCGAAAGTAAAAAGCTCACACTCTTAGATGAGGCAAAGGCAGATTTAAAAATTCTATCAAAGACTTACAGTTTATTAAGGACATTTTACTGGAGCAGATGTCCTGTGTTTTCTTCATGTCATACTGCCATATAGCACATGAATCAAACCAAAACCAAATAAAAATGGTTGTTCCCTTTTCTGCATTTTTAATATTTAAACATTCAGTTTTAATACTATGAAAAGCTTGAACCCAAACTTGTCCACTTTCCACATTCAGCCCATTCACAGTTCACAGCCATTTTAAAATCTTACCTTTGTTCTGTGTAGACTTTCTTTCACATGCTTTTCTAATGCACCTAGATCTACTTGTATCTTAACACATTTTATTCTTAGATTGCAGAGGCTTCAAGTTGGAAAGGCCTGACACAGTTCAAACCATGTGGTTTAAGCCCAGCCAGTAACTCAGAACCTTGAAGCTGCTTGCTCACTTTTCCCCTTTCTCCCTCCCTGCTCCCGGACACGTCAACTTCTAAAACTAGAAAATAAATAATACTTCCAGAACTGTAGATAAAAAATGTTAGTATGGAAATAGGCAGTATATATGTCCTCTGAACAAGGCCAGTTCTCCTCAACCTTTCATACTTCATTTAAGCTGCCTCTGGTAGTATTAGCTGAAACCTTCTGGCTGGGAGTGTGTACACCCAAGCAATGTTGTGCTGAATCTCTTATCAAAACATACTTTGATCATCCACTAGTAAATTTCACTGATTCCTTGGGTAAGCTTGCACGTTTCTAAATACCTATTTACTTGTAAAACTTTGTACATGCAGAATTTGTCTTGCTTCTTGGGATTGTGCCCTGCACGACTTGAAAACTGCCCTGAAACTGCTGGAACAGGACAGATGTTACTAAAAAGACTGATTTAAATATACCACATGGATCTTATATAGCCAGTCTTAACTGCAAGGAGTTTTTTTATGAGCACAACTGTACTGAAGGTAAAATAATGAGTGTCGCCTAGGAATTTTTGATGATGTTTAATTATTTAGATGTGCATTAAGACCTTATTTGCATATCTTTACATAAATTAAAAAAACACTGAAGACATTGTTTTCTTTCCTTTTATAAAATAAGGGAAAGAGTTGAAGGTTGTTTGAAATTGGGGTATTTGACTATAACAGCCCTGAGTAATATCAGGGAAGTTATTAGAATGGTTTAATTAAATGTCGACTTAATCATTCATAGAAGCAATTCATAAGCACTAATCTCTGAACTAACATTTAACACAGGCATTCTGTTAGGACATACCAGTTTACAACACATATTTTTGACACAGACTTCGAAGTGACGCAGATACTCCTTATGAAACCAGTGCTGTCAAACTCATTCATTAGTTGTCAGTATAGCCTCGTTATCAAGTACTGCAATCCAGCTGAGTTATTTATTGCTTACAAATGCTTCAAACTACAGAAAATCTTTGGTAAAAAGAAAATCAGTAAAATTTTCACAATAGCTTTACATGTAGTATTGCACGACAAGGCTTTTTCCATACACAAGAAAAAAGGAATGCTCAAATCCTCGGTGAGGAGATTAGAACTGTCCAACATTCATTAGTTTACCACTATAAGCAAAATTTCTTTTCATAAATGTTTAAAATATTTTCTGGTTTCTTTCACCTTATATGAACATTTATGTTTCAATCTATATTTCAAACAGAAGAGTAGTCAAATAGAACCATTTAAATAAAAATTGGCAACTATACAGCATTGTCTTGTCTACCCTACTACAGCATCAGATCTTTTCAAGTCTGTTTACTTCACAAAAAACTCAAGAAGAAAGAAAAACGCTAAAAATAATCATAGTCCTCAGCCCTCTATGGAATAGAGGAAAATAAGTTTCATGTCTATTATTGGACATAGACATTTCTCTAGTGGTCCAGTTGTGCAGATTCAAACCTAAGTGGCATTAAGCTGCTCTAAATGAGCTCTTAGCTCAGGACACAGTTCAGTTAGCAGCAGTTCCAGCAAAACCTGAAAAACAGAAATGAGTTCAGGTAAGTACAGGTGCCAAATGAGAATTTCTCCTTCCTTTCTGTCATGTTCAGAGCACCACAGATAAGAAAAGCATGAAGGGTCACTACTCATCACTCATGCAATTCCATTTCTTTCAGCCTAAAGTTAGCGTGAGCCCTGCAGATAACACAGGAAATGCCCCAAGGCTAAAAGAGGGCAAGTGCCACAGGCACAGCTGCCTTCATTCAGATGGGGATTTCCCACCCTGCATAAACTGGTGCTGTTGTGTCAAAGCTGCAGCAGCTGCATCAGGAAGCACCAGGGCATGTGCTGCCTGAGCATGCCAAGGCTGTTACCAGCTGCAGAAGCAAATGAGACAGAAGAGACTGAGGGAAAAGGTATTACAGTTGTGTCCAGCTCCATACTCCAGTCAGTCCCAACCAGCAACAAAGGAGGCCTGTCACATCCTAACTGTGAGCCAAACCTGGAACTTCCTTTCCTTTTGATTCTCCAAGGTGTCTATTTTTCTCAACTATATGAAGAGATTAGTTTATACCTCATGAAGTCTGGCAAGTTGGATGTGGTAGAGGATCTCTCTTGGACAAAGGCAAACCTTGTTTTTAAACTTAAACAGTTTTCTGTTATTCAGAATGAGTCACATGAGGTAACCAAGTACGTTTCTTTTGACTTTAATAACCAAAAATGTTTCTTGCACACAGAACAAAAGTCTAACAAATTTCTGCAAAAACACACACCCCATGCTCTAATAGAGAGTGAGCAGAGCTCAGCGATTAACAGGAGTATAAAGTTAAAAGGCTATTTTTGTGGTTACTCACATAGAGTAGGTGCTTGTTTGCCTTTCTTTCTTGCAATGCATTGAACACTTTCACTACACCATGGCGGGCATTTTGTTGTCCAACAAGACTCTGCAGAGTATCTGCAACAAATATTAATTCAGCTTACAGTGTTTCACCCATGCTAGGCAGAACCTCCAGCTAACCGTACCACCCACAAAGGAGAGGAAATAAAACCACTGCACTTCATGGCCCTTGGTTACAAGATACATAGCCCCCATTCACCCACCTTTTAACAACATAGGTTTGTTAGGTCAGGTTCAAAACACTCAAGTTACCCAAGTTTAATAAGGGTATATGCATCTCAATAACAACATTTTTATTGTTTTAACATGATATATAGTATGCCTTTTAGACAGTTCACCTCTCAGAGTCAAGTCTAATTTCATGCATTATTAAATCATTCACTTAAATATACCTTCAGCCACAAAGACAGAATTACTGCAACAGTTAAAACAGATTCAGATTGCCTCTTCACAGAAAATACTTCCCACAACTAAGTCAATTACTTATAATTTGGATTAGACAATAAATAGTGATTCAGTGCTTCATTAATTTAAGGGACATTCAGCTGTCTCCTGACACATCTCTCCAAGCTCAGAAACAACAGAACAGAACCACAAACCAGCTATAGAAGCCTATGCTAGGTAAGTAGGTGAGCATCAGAGTAAATGACAAATATTTTGCATGCATGCCTGCTGCTATTTTTGCAGTAAAAGTCAACTAATGGAAGGGGTGTCTGAGACATCTCAGCCATAAAATAGCTCGTTGAAGTACATTCTGTTCAGCTGGAGGCGAGTATCTTGGGTTCAGCTGTAGCATTCATTTTTCTCCTTCCTAGTAGCTGGTGCAGTGCTGTGTTTTCGACTTTAGTCTGAGAACAACGCTGATAACACACTGATGTTCTAGCTGTTGCTCAGTAGCACTTGCTCTGATCAAGGACTTTTCAGTCTCTCATGCTCTGCCAGTGAGGAGGGGCACAAGAAGCCAGGAGGAAGGAGAGACACGACACCTGACCCAAAGTAGCTAAAGGGGTATTCCATACAGCTGCATGTCATGCCCAGTATATAAACTGGGGGAGTTAACCTGGAAGGCCCAGATCGCTGCTTGGGTCCAGCTGGGTATCAGATGGCGGGTGGTAAGCGACTGTATTGTGCATCACTTGTGTTTATTGATTCTACATCTATCCACCCCCACCCTTTTTACTTTTATATTCTCACCCCTTGTTATTTCCCTTATCATTACTAGCAGTAGTTTTGTTTCCTAACTCAGGATTAAGCAGAATGAAAGTGATCTCACCTGGAATGTTTTCAAGTAGTTTTTGCTGTGCTCTCTGTTTTGTCTCTCGCTTTTGTTCATCGCTCTTGGCTCTTGGTGGTGGAGCTAACTTGCCATTTGGCCAAAAAGCATCTCGAAACACACCAATGTAGTAAACAAGCATTGGTTCACTGAAAATCCAATGTACAGTGTCACGGATTTGCCTGTGGAGAAGTACAGAAAGGACTGTATCTTTCATGTTTTAGGCAGATTCATTCTTTTATTCCTGAAAGTAGTGGAAGCGATGCTCAATTTCACGTAGTTATCCCAAATTATGATATCACCTGCAGCACAGCAACTTCTATTCAGCTCTGGGTTCTCTAGGATTTAGGTCACTCCAGATACCCAACTGAGATGTGGAGAAGGCTACATTTCAATGTAATCCACAAACACAGACTACAAATTACTACACATATTACAAATTACTACACTGAAACTATACTTCAGGAATGCGCCCTACAAAAGCTCCACTGGGAAAAGACATAAAAATTAACTAATTGTGGTGAACTCCAAACTAAATGCATGATAGATTTATCCCACCATGCCTGGTGGGATAAAAACAGATGAAGTTTTGATAAAAGCACAGGAAGTCCCCTCAC